AAACCCTCACCAATTCCTGTGTTGGGCTGAGCTTCCAGTGAGCTCAAAGTCAGCCTGAACTTACAGTTGGCTTGAGGTGAGAGTTTCAGGCCAGACTGGGCCCCAGTACCTTCTCTGTGACAGGAATTTCTGAGTCCAGAAGGGACCCAGGCAAGTGTGAGGAAGCTGGTCGCATCCCTGGTCCTCTGGTGTCCCCTGCCATGGTGTTGGCTAGATGTGAGATGTGACTGACTGGGATTTGGCAGGAGAGTCCTGAGTATATGGCTGGGGGCTTTCTCCTCTCCATGCGGGGCTCCCTAAGATCTGGGGCAAGGGCTGGGGTTGTGGGGGAAAGGGTGAAGATACTGGGAATTGTAGCTGTTAGATGCTCAGGGCTCAGAAAGACAGGGTGGGCCTGGCTCAGGTGCTGTGGGCCACACCCAGTTCCCTCAAGGGAAGCTTGAGACCACAGCTACTGCGCTTGAATCAGAACCTCCAGCCTCATCCAGGGCCAGAGAACTATAGCAGGAGAAGCCAAGGGAGACAGAAGCAGGGCGATAGGGGAGCATGAGTCCCTCCGAAGAGGGGGTGGTCTCAGAGAGCGCTCTAAAATGCAGCAGGCTGGAATAGGTGAGACAGGAGAAAGGACTTCCTGCCTGCGAACTACCAAGCACTGGGGCCTACCTTGGATGATTTGTGCTTCTGACATTTGTCAAAGGAGGGCTGTTTTTTTTTTTCCTGCTAGGGATGCTTAGAGCAAGCTGGGGAATGGGGGTAGAGCAGGGGCTCAGGAGGGTCCCATTTACCATTCCCCCATGACCATCTCACATCCTGTGATTTATTTAAGCTCCCCCCATCCACACTGAAATCCTGGGCCAACAGAGTCATATGGGGAAACTGAGGACCCAGAGAGAAAGCAGTGTGATCACAGGCACACAGGACTGCAGCCCAGCTTCCCAGGCCCCCTTCATTTTGGCTTTTGTGTTTGAATTGGTAAGGAGATGGAGACCTTGTAGTAAAGGAGGAGGTGGTGAAGAGAAGAGAGGAGAAGGAGTAAGAGGAGAAATGAATGGG